ATAAAAAGTTTTAAAACAATTTAATGTTTAATATTTGCAAAAATCTTTCATATCTTTTCTCATGAAATTATATTGTGTGTGTCTATTTCCACTCTAAATTGAGAACCCCTAGAAACTTATATCCCTGCACACAGATACAACACAGTTTGCATTCAGGAAGTATTTCTGGGTCAATCGCACTTCTTTTTTTTCTCCAATAGCAATTTTATAGCTTTAGCCTATGTTACGCTTTTCTCAGAAATGAAACCTCCAGCCCTGGCCAGTGTGGCTTAATGGTTGAGCATCGACCAATGAACCAGGAGATCAAAGTACGCTTCCCTGTGAGGGCATGCCCAGGTTTCGGCTCGATACCCAGTAGGGGGCATGCAGAAGGCCGATGATCAATGATTCTCATCATTGATGTTTCTCTCTCTCTCTCCCTCTCCCTTACTTTCTGAAATCAATAAAAATATTTTTTAAAAAGAAAAGAAACCAGGTTTCACTGTATTTGCATTTAAAAAAAAAATATATATATATATTGATTTCAAAAAGGAAGGGAAAGGGAGAGAGAGATAGAAACATCAATGACGAGAGAGAATCATTGGTCAGCTGCCTCCTGCACAACCCCTACTGGGGATAGAGCCCGAAACCTGGGCATGTGCCCTTGACTGGAATCGAACCTGGGACCCTTCAGTCCACAGGCCAACGCCTTGTCCACTGAGCCAAACAAGCTAGGGCTGCATTTTTATTTCTTAGTGATTTCAAATTAGAGAAGATTAACTTTCCCAACTAGTATGTAACTTTGGTAAAATAAATAGAAAGGCAAAAAGAATGAGGAAGCTTTCAAAAGTAAGGATAGTAATATCTGAATATAGTCATTCCTCCAAGTTCTTAACAAATAAGTCCTATGTTACAACCCCTTTTAATGAAAAGGTGGTGCTTCAGAAGAGTCAAGAATTCTGTGGACTATCTCTATCAGAGATAATTTAAACTTCCTTAATACAAAGCAAAACAAACAAACAAAAACCTATCTCTTACTCTACCTTATCCCATCAAAAAGAAAAAGGCCTCTTTTTAAACAAGTTTAATGTCCATTGGATCTTCTCATCTAGTTCCTTCTATGAATGGTAATCTGCTTCAGGGATTTGTAGTCAGGAGCTTGGAAATTTTAGAATGCTCAGATTTTCACAACCATACCATTTATTCACTGAGAGTAAACAGAAGTGCTACACAAGAAACTTGAGTAAGACAGAGCTAGGTTTCCTTCAAACCCTTCTATCTAAAATTGGGAGAACTGCAACTTGGGCGCCCCCTGGGGATCAAATTTAAAAAAATGTTTTACATCTTTAAACTGTATCCTCTAAAAATATTCAAAGAGCCCACTGGTATGGCTCAGTAGTTGAGCGTTGACCTATGAATCAGGATGTTACGGTTAGATTCCCGGTCAGGGAATATGCCCGGGTTTCGGGATCGATCCCCAGTAGGTACTGTGCAGGAGGCAGGCGACCAATGTTTCTCCCCCTCTTCCTTCCTCTCTGAAATCAATTTAAAAATATATTAAAAAATCCAAATGTTCAAAGAATACTTATTAAGCACCTGCTGAGTGCCAGGCACAATGTTCAACACCTGAGACACAAAAATAAGTAAAATCAAGTTTCTGATTTCTACATGCTTAAAGTCATTATCACCCCAGTCTAAGGACAGTAGGTAGGATTACCAAAGTATGAGTTACCCGCAAAACTTGGACGTTATGACACAGAAGATAAGAATTTTGTTGGGGTGCTATAGAAAGCAATTTGGCATGGATATATACTTGAGTATAATTTGTTTATGTAAGTAAAATGTTCACCATCTTTAAAAGAGTTGGTTTAACCATCTCTTCCTGCTAACACATGCAAAATTGTAGTTCTTATTTTCAAAGACAAGTTGAGGTTATGGCACCATAATTTTTCTTGAGTCAAAACAATATAAATAAATTTTAATTTAAAAAATTCAAAAATAAGGCAGTATCCTCATCATGATTTTTTAGTAACAAGTTATTTCACAACAACTCTACTCTGAACACTAACTCTAAGAGGATTGCACTGATTTTAAAAAAACAAATTGAGCCCAAACCGGTTTGGCTCAGTGGATAGAGCATCGGCCTGCGGACTGAAGGGTCCCAGGTTCAATTCCGGTCAAGGGCATGTACCTGGGTTGTGGGCACATCCCAGTGGGAGATGTGCAGGAGGCAGCTGATGGATGTTTCTCTCATCGATGTTTCTAACTCTCTATCTCTCTCCCTTCCTCTCTGTAAAAAATCAATAAAATATATTTTTTAAAAAAACTAATTGAGTATGAAAGGGCACAGAAAATAGAAACAAATAGTTAGAAAATAAAACAAAATTGAAAAAGACCAGTACAAATAAAAGGGAAAAGTCAAAACTAAAACCCCTCAAACCTTTCCTTCCCAGTTCAGAACACTTTCAGAAGATACCATATCAGATTTGCCCTTCCTTCCTCGAGATCTGGGAGAGCATGTAGTAGAGGTAGAATTCCTCTTCAGAAAGAAAAACAGGTACAATCTTCCCTCCAGTCACACTCTCATTCCTAAAAGCAATGCCCCATGACATTAGAGGGTCAGATAGTTGTAGGTTCTGTAGCCAGGGCTCTAAAATGTACTTCTGGCAGCCTGAGTTGGAAATCAATGTACTTTTCCCAACGAAACAATTCTATTTCAGCCATATTTCAGGGCTCCTGTGAGCTAAATTAGCATTGGCATGATAGTTGGAAAATTTAACCTTGTTTATAATGCTTTTTCCCTAAAGGAAAAAATTTAGTTCCAAAAATTACAATCTTTTGGGATTCAGCTATTGTTTGCCTATATAATAAAATATTCAATGAAAATACAAGGGACTCATAAAGAAAAGAATAAAAAACCTCTAATTTAACTGACCATAGACTTCCATTGTTTATTTCATCAACTGGGGGACAGCAATTACTAAATTATAAACTGTTTGGAATCTGTAGATATCAACTTAATGTTTATGGCAATTGGAATCAAGAGTAACTATTTTCATGGAAGATAACAGTTTAAAACAGCTTAAGCTCATGTAATTGCTCAAATCTTAAAGAATAGGATAATAAACTATAAAACATATCTCATCAGGGAAATCTTGTAACAGGTTTAAAATGTCATCAGCCCTTACTGACCAGAAATAAGAATAAATACTAGTTATAGAATGTGGAGATTATTTTTAAACCAGTGCAGTAATACGGGTATTATTAGTTGGGGTGTGGACAGTTAAAGCCACTTTAGGATTCAGAAACAAAATATTTAAATGCATTCAAATGTAATGGTCCTAAGTTTTAAAAAGTAACACTACTACGAAGTAAAAATAACCAACCTCATAAATTAAGTACAGGAAGTCTAACACTGAGAAAGAAATTATTTGCATCTATGTGTGCCAGAGATTTTACTTCATTTAATATTCACAAATACCATACTAGATAGAAATTAATTCCCGCTTTTTACAGAGAAACTCAAGCAAAAAGTAACAACTTGTCTGGGGCTAAAGAAACAGTAAATGGCACATAGACTTTGACCCCACATCTGTTTCTTAAGTCTTTGCTCCTTCCTCTATCATGCTATGTACATATGAGTCATTTCATACATAAAACAAAAGCTTGAAATCACCCAATTGTCCACTTGTCTTCTAAAAAGTAAAAAGAACCAACAAAAATGAGAAAAAATATTTATGTGTTTTTTTGGTTGAGTTAGTTCCACTTTTATCCCTAAAAATAGTCAATAATGATAAATGCAGCTATAGAATATATAATGAAGTAGATGTCACCATCCGACTTTTTCTGGATGTTCTTTAGAGAATAATATATAGGACAGGAGTGAACGGTGTGCACACAGAGGGAGAGGAGTAGAGGCCCAAAGCTAAAAGAAGCCATATGCAACAGAGAAGGGAATTCTATAAGTTCTGTGGCAACACTTTTGTTGGTCACCGAGTTTCACAGGGACTCAGTGTTTTACAGCACGCTGGTCGCCTCTTATGTGTTCTATGTATCTTGTTTTACTTCTCTCCCAAATAGTCCCCCAGACTCTCCAATAAGCATTTCTCAGTGTCAGTGCAAGTAACCAAGTATCTGTTTGAAAATTGTTAACAGAATTGAAATGGTAAACTTATCACCACTTGAAGAAAAAAAGAATTAGAAAGTAACACAATTTCACAATTCCAGAGTTGGGCGGTATTTTATACTGAGTTTAAAACTGGGTGTACAGCCTCTTAAGTTCTAGAGGGGGCAACTGAGACTCGGAGGCAGTGACTTGGCCATGGACTCAGCGTGAGCTGGCAGCAGGGCCAGAGGTTGAAGCTTGATCTCAGGACTGGGCTCCACGGCTTTTCCAACCACACGAGCTCAGGCTGTCAGGGCTGGTACTGCCAACTGAAGGGGCCAGAACGCGCCACTGGCGGGTCACAGAACACCTAACCTAACAGCCTGTCCGCCGGGATTCCTTTCTAGGCTGATTAGTTGCGGGCTCGCCGTTTAGAGAGCCCACGGGGAGGGGCAGAGTAGAAAAACCGGTTTCTTCTTCAGCCCGGCAGCTGTGGGCGCACGACGCCTCTGACCTAAATCCGGCTCCCGCTGCCTTCACTTCTCCACGCCCAGCGACACGCTGACCTCTGCGCTGAGGGCCCCCGAAAGCTGACCCTCTCGGAGTCCCTCTCCCAGCCCACTCTCAAGACGAACTTTGTCCCAACATATAAGGAAAAAGGGGTGCAGGAACAAAGCGACCCCAAGGAGTCCCCATCCATTCCCGGCGCCCCCAAGGAGGGCGGACGTGGACTACCAGTCCCGACGTGCCACGCGCCGGCGGACCCCCAACCACCGCCACGCGGGTGGCGCGACGGTCGCCGGGATTCGTAGTCCGCGGCCCCGCGGCTCCGGGGGGCGCGGACCTCCGGGCACGACAGGACAAGCCGGCCCGGCGTCTGGTCAAGCCTACAGACCGCCAGCTGCCTGGGCCTCACCTCCACGATGCGGGCGCACTGGGTCCCTTTGCCGGCGCCGGGACCGCCAAGAACGAACACGACCAGCGGCTTCATGAGGCGGTGAGGGCAGAGGAAAAACGGCCGGCGGGTCACCAGCGGGAAACGAAGACCCAGGTCGTGCAGCAGCCGGCGGCCGCAGCGGTTCAGCATACACTGCGTCTCTGACAGCAGCCCGGCCGGCTGAGGCCCGGGGCGGGACGGGGCGGGACAGCAGAAGGGGGCGGGCCGAGCCGGCCCCCGCCCCCCCCCCCCGCCAAGGCTGCCGGGGCGTCCCCGTTGCGGCCGGAAGGGGAGGGGCTCCCACTGCTGGGGGGCGGCGCCGCTAGGGCTCTTCCTCGGCGGGGCGGGGCCTCCTCCAACCCGCTCCTTCGTCCGCTCATTTATTGGTTCAATCCGTGGATTCTTAACCTGGTGCATCCTGTGTCAGGCCCGTGCTGGAGTCTGGTGCGACACTACGGGAGAGCAGAACCTATTGTCTCTGTTCACAAGGAATTTAAGTTCCAGTGGGGAGGCAGCCGGCCTGAGCAAGTCAACACACGAATAAGTAAATAAATGCAAACAGCAACAAACAAAGAAAAAATAAATACAAATAGCAATGTGAGCTTTGAAGGCATAACGAAGGATGAATGTAATTTGGGTCAAGTAGTCAGAGAAGACCTCTGAAGAGGTGACATTTAAGCCAAGACGTAAGGATAGGAAAGAGCAAAATCAGGCAAAGACTAGATTATAGTGTCCCACAAAAACAGAAAAGGTGGCCCTAACCGGTTTGGCTCAATGGATAGAGCGTCGGCCTGTGGACTGAGGGGTCCCAGGGTCCATTCTGGTCAAGGGCATGTACCTTGGTTGCAGGCACATCCCCAGTAGGGGGTGTGCAGGAGGCAGCTGATTGATGTTCCTAACTATCCCTCTCCCTTCCTCTCTGTAAAAAATCAATAAAATATATATTTTTAAAACAGAAAAGGTGTGCAAAAACCCCGGTGTTAGAGAAGACAGACCAGAACTGTATGAATGACAGGGAGAACAGAAGGTGGAAGAGTTAGACTGGTGGCAGGTCATTCAGGCCCTTTAGTTATGGAAAGGAGTTTGGATTATAGTCCAATTGCACTGGGAAGCTTTTTAATTATAACTCCATTTCTCTGCCCCCTGCATGAAGGAAAAATCTTAAGAAAGAAGAAAAGGAATCTAAGGAATGAGTCTTGGAACACAGACCTTTAAAAGTTGGAGAGAGGAGGAGGAGCCTGACAAGGAAGAGCCAAAAAAGGTAGGAGGAAAACCATAAGAATGTGGTGTTCCAGCAGAATATCTGGAGTAGGATTTTGATGATGCATTGGTGAACATTGTGTTATACTAATAAATTGGACTTGGCATCAGGGAGAATTTAGACTTATGAACTCTATGGTGTCACCCAAAGCAGATCACACACTATATTTAATTTGAAACTGGATTGAAAGAGGAGTGCATAGGAGGTGAGGAGCTGAAGACAATAGAGAGAATAAGGGTCAAGGCTTAGTTTATTAGGATGTCATTAGGAGTAATAATGTCTAATATGGTAGCCACTAGCCACATAAGGCTAAATTAATTACGTTAAATACAATTTAAAAATTCATTTCCTCAGTCATACTAACCACATTTCAAGTGCTCAATAATCACATGTAGCTAGTGGCAATTGTACCGGACAATGTACATACAGAACATTTCCATCATCACAAAATGTTCTATTGGACAATACTGTACTAGAGCTTCTATTTAAGCTACTAAGATTGATATGAAAGAAAGGAACAGAGGTAATCCCTTGAGAAGAAAAATCACATGGGTTCCAAAGGGCACGTGAAGGGCCTTAGATTACTTAAAAGGACTCAGAGAAAACGAAGTTCATTTATAATAGGAGTTGGAAGAAAGGTATAGTTATAGGAAAGTTTGAAGATAAGGAAGCATTCCTGTCTGATAACTTTATTTTCTCAGTAAATAAAAGGCAATATCAGCTGAGGGTAAAGAGAAGGGAGTCGGGTGTTTGAGAAGACAGAAGGTATGAAACAGACATCTTTGAGAGTGGAAAATTGGTTTTCTAAAGAAAACTAATCAGCAGGACTTCAGAGCAACATTAGGAACTCATTTGGTGGTTGAGTTCGTCAACTATCAAAGAGAATCAATTAGGTATTCCATAAAGGATTTATTCTGGAAAAAGAAAGGATTGTAACCCAGTATGTACAGACATAGCAGCATGTGCACAAACTATCATGAGTTAGTCCCTCAGTCAGGCTGGGACTCACAACCTCAGCATCACCCACAAGAGCTCCTCCCTGACCTTTGGGTTAACACTGACCATGCTAAGAGATTGCACTGCTCTAGAGCTCCTTCCCGGGTTCTAGCTCCTTCCACAGGCCCTACCTATTGATTGATTATATGCAGGTTAAGGTCTCTGTCATAAATTTTATCAAGAGCATGGATTTAAGCCCTAGCCGGTTTGGCTCAATGGATAGAGTGTTGGCCTGTGAACTGAAAGGTCCCAGGTTTGATTCCGGTCAAGGGCACATGCCCGGGTTGTGGGCTCAATCCCCAGTGGGGGACTTGCAGGAGGCAGCCGATCCATGATTCTCTCTCATCATGGATGTTTCTATCTCTCTCTCCTTCTTCCTTCCTCTCTGAAATCAATAAAAATATATATTTTTAAAAAGATCATGGATTCAAAATATTTGAAGATGTTTGACTGTTCAGATGCAGGCATAGAGAAGACAGTGTTGAGTTTAGCCAGGGTAGGAGTTTTGCCAAACAAGCACAACAGAAGGAGAAAGGACCGAGAGGGTATTTGCAACAGAATGTGTATGATGATGTATGTGAGCTCAAACCATATAGAAAGCATTTGGTAACCGGAAGTGTTTAGTAGTGTGAGTAGTTTTGTGAACAGAGAGAGGAGACACATGGAAGAGTTTTTCAAAAACACATATCTTACCACACCATGTAGTCACATGAATCCAAGGAGGCTAGGATTCATGAAAGACACCATGCTACTCTGATGCTTGAACATTTAACTCCTTCTTAGCCTTATAATAGTGCTCCTACTCCTTGGTGGTGGCAGAAAAACAATGAGTACCACCTAAATGCAGACAACAGACCTTCAATAATAATATGACTCCATAAATATATATTGAATAAGTGGATGTTACCCAGTAGAGGGCCATTCCTTATCTGAATTCATAGATTGAATCCATAGATTAAATAAATTGAATGAATGTATATTGAATATCCACTATGTATCAGGTATTTGACTTACATTACATTTTCTGAGGCTACAAGAGGTATCCTCAAAACCCACTCCTACCTGTATGTGTTTATTTATCATCAAGTACATTTCACTTACATTACCATTTAATAATCATTACAATTATAATATCTGTAGAGATTTCTGGGCCAGGATTTGCTGTCCTGGGCATCAACCCTCTAATTGTGGATCATGGAAA